GTAGAGTTCATACTTTGATTGACACTACTTGATGAAGGACAATCTCTGCCTACGTTTAAATGGTTTTCGGGGAAACTGAGAGCTTACCAAACTGATCCCAAGCAACCGCATGGTAATGTACGGCGTTGTTAACATTACATACGGATTCCAGTCAGTTGTCTTGGTATCAGCCTAATTAAAGCGTTGAACAAAATAACCTGATTTACAGCTGTAACTCTATTTGACCTCCTAACTAATGTGGATCTATCTACTCTCTACCCTATGCACGTCGGCACCCACAGGTGACTAACTAAGCTATAGCCTGGCGAAAGAATTTCACCTTTCATGTAAAAAGTGCACGGTGACCGTGGTCACCAACTGCGCCGATGCAATGCCAGCTTTGTCAAGAGTTTACACTGCCATATTCGGACCAGAAAATCGGTCATTCCACATAACTGCTGAGAAACTGAGTTTGACCACTGACATTTCCTGAGTACTACAAAGGTTAGGTAGGAATACTGAGATGAGCCCCTCAAAATTCTCGAAGGGAGAAACACACCCTATATGGATGGACTGATGGTATTCAGTCTTCATAGACTTCGTTTTGTTACTGAGGCTTTCGGTAACATTGAAGGCCTATGTTTACGGTTCTGTATAGAGGCCAAGTTAGTTGAGACGACACAAATTGAAATCCTTTCATACGTGGAGAATTCGAAAATCGAGGCATTTCAACCCTAAAGCAGTACTCACTTGGCCAAAGGCTCATATGTCTGATCCACACGCGATTTGTAATCCTGATAGCGCGAATAGGCTAATTCTAGAGACTGGAGCTCGCGCTTGGCGAGTTCAATCTTTTTAGACAGGAGCAATGCAGCCGTTTGGATCCTATAGATTACCCAATAACAATCAACATTACTGAGACAGGGAAGAATCCGGACACTCGGTACCACTCATGAAACTGGCGATTTTCTCAAACTTCTCTCTTGTTGTTACGTCCAGCTGTACGCGGAAGTTTTGATAAAAGTATTCCAGAAATAGGGAAATCAGTGATTCTGCGTGTCGAGTGAGACGAAGGTAGCCTTACCTGAGGTTTCGAAGTCTTGGTTCAGCTCAACAGACCAATTGGTGATCAGATGCTGAGTATCTATTAAACGTTCCTTTAGCTTGTCTTCTGCATCTTCTTTAGCCATTCGTAGTGCAGTACTGCAAATATGGACAAAAAGAACCTGTCAACCGTTGAGTAGGAGCTTGAAATGAAGCTCAAATTAAGTGAACTAGAAATGAGCTAATGGCATAGAACATGAAGCTGTTAATTTCTGACAGATGTTCCGGTGTAAGGGACCCATTCTAGGGTTTCATGCGACCGAAATGTGGTTGCGTGTTTTTTCGATTAGTATTAGGTACCAAAAAATCAATGAACCGGCAATCGGGCAATTTGGGATATTCGGAGATGGTTCTTTACGTGATGCTTCAAGTCTGCTGAGGCGAGGGTGGAAATGTCAATTGGCATCGTTTCCTTCGAGATATGTGCCCCTCTGGTTAAAGACTTTGGTCCCTGTACAATATTTTTTCAAAAACGATCCATGAGTAGGTAATACAAGTTCTTAGGGAGCCAACCTTGCAGTCGGATGAGCATGTCAGAAAGCCAGCCACTCTTGATAACCAAACAACAAGCCCATTGGACGGATGTGCCATGTGCGGGCTACGGACTAAGCGAAGGCATACCTTGATTGTTCAGAACGTCAGCCAATATGGATCAAGCGTGACCTTGTGGAACATTCTGTGATGATTCTACAAATTCTTTCGTAATAATCTCCCTTAATCTGCTTAAATGGCGACACCAGGTTACCGTGCCTTCTGATAAACCATGGTGGACAGAGCAGGAAGCTAAAGACCGGTATAGAAGTTGTAACATCGTTTGCAGCACAGAAAGTTACACAGGCAACACTCAGGTAGTGGCAGATGTAGCCAGATGGTACTGATTTATTAGTAGCGATGACGATGGAATCAGATGTGTATATTCCATACATAAGTGCTAACGTGATTACAAAAAACGGCCCGAGTAGCTCAGTCACTAACACCGCGGACTTCTGTTCCGAGGGCCCCAGTTAGAATCCCAGCATGAGCGTCTTCGGCTGGTCCTCATGAAATCCGTGCACATGACCTGTGCAATAAAGACTAAAAAGATCCAAAGATAGGATCGGTTTATTGCCACATCCTCATAAAACTACAACACATGAAATAAGATGAAACAATGTACTTTTAACGTATGAATGAGTACCTTGTACTAGGTCAGCCTGCTGCAGAATTCGGTAGCTTGCCGTATCCGGCACGAAGGGACGGTCTGGAGGTATGCGTACCTCTGTGAACCATTGAGTTATACTGGGAGGTGGCCGTGCAAAACTCGCAGATTCAGTTCAATTCAATTTACCAGCTTTAAACCGCTTAAAATTGGCACAATGGCCCCAGCTGCTACAGTTCCGGTCAACGGAAAGTAGGAGTGTGCGACACAACCAAGCCTTGAAGGCAATGGATATTTGGTTAGTTAGGGTACTGGATAGCTACGAACTGAAGGTAAAAGCGTTGATGCACCAGCGCCGACGACAGCGCGATTCGGCTAGTTCTACCTGTGCCATTAACCATTGGTGAGTTGAGTTCCAGAATCACTATCCAGGGAGACGGTCGTTGTCAATCCGGACTAAGTTTACTGGATAGTGTTTTCATACCTCGTTGCCAGGTCATACACTGTCCACCACTTGGTCACTTACACTCAGTACAGAGCTGGGCGAAAAGAGCTCTGAGAAACAGATGGTCATCTGACATTCTTCATGTGTCCTCTGCGCGTGGAGCACGCCCCGGAACCATAAAGCAGTCTGCATCGCACTACCGCAGTGTAAGCTCTGGTCTTGACAGACTAACTGACGTCACGTCGGCACCATAGGTGTCGGGGCTTAGCAAAAGCTGTCCTGGCCTTTCCGATTCGACAAGTAACCTCATCTCCAGCCAGTCCACCCGAACTACTACTGCCCAGTAAACAAACTTATCCATCATCATCACTGTCAGCTGTAATAACCGCGTACTCGTCGTACAGTGGTTGCAGCTGCCGCAGTTTCGTTCACCGATGATTTGGGGGGGGGGATAGGTAGCTGCGCATTGCACGCGCGAGCTGGTAAATTGGTGCACAAATCCAGCACTCTCAGTGGGCTGTCAAGTGGGGGGGGGTTGGAAAAAGAGCTATGCATTGAAGGCAATAGCTTTGACGCACGAGCGCCATTGAGGGCGCGACTGGGCCATGTCGGATAATGTCTCTAGCCATTGATGTGGCCCGTTTCGGGGTCCCCATCCAGGAAGACGGCAGTGACCAGCTGTTGGGGATATCAATATCCCCCCCAAAAACGCTGTATTTTTATGTGTGCTAGCGAACTTCCGGCATCTTCAAGGCCACACTATGAATATATATATATATATATATATATATATATAT